GTGTCCCCCCTTGCCCCACCCGCACAAGCGTGAGTCCCCACCCGGCCCTGGGGACAAAGGGAGCTTTACCAGGTTAGAGGGACGCTGTGGGCACACGGTGGCACCTGGGGAGAACCCAGAGGCTGAGGATGACGAGGCAGAGGAACGGTAGGCCACAGGAAGTGGGCAGGAAGATGCAGGGAGGCTGCAGGGACCCCAGACCCGCCTCAGGTCCCACCTTGCCCCACCCGCACAAGCGTGAGTCCCCACCCGGCCCTGGGGACAAAGGGAGCTTTACCAGGTTAGAGGGACGCTGTGGGCACACGGTGGCACCTGGGGAGAACCCAGAGGCTGAGGATGACGAGGCGCAGAGGAACGCAGGCCTTTGTTCCGGAAGGAATGCACACAGACCAGACGGGCCTGGCTCCCGGCCCAGCATGGCCCCAGGCCGCCCGTGCCGCCAGATGTGGCCTGCGCCAATTATGGTGTGGCCAGGGCTGCAGGAGCAAAATGCTGCACCCACAGCGGTGCCCGGAGGCCTGGGAGCACAGATTCCCAAACCCACGATGGGTGGGTGGGCGGGCAAGCGGGAAATCAGTGCCCTGAGCCTGGGCTGGGCCAGGTGCCTGTGAGAGAAGGTTACAGGCCGGAGGCTCTGCCCTCTGATGCCAGCGTTTCTTTCTCTCATGCCGCCCCTGCCTCCTGGTACGTTCAAAACAGCACACAGACCAACACAGCAAACGCTGGCACTGGCTCTCAGGGCCAACTACAAAATCCACACCTGAGAGGTGCCACGTTACAATGTGCTGCCAAGGGGTGAGGACAAGAGGTGACGGCCTTTGGGCCACCTGGAAATGTTCCCAGGGTGGGGGAGTGGCCTGGCTGGGTAAGGGCTGGTAACCATGGCCAGGGTGTCCTCCTTCAAGCTGCCTGGGTGCAAAGCCAGACAGGGTGGTGTAGGCCTATGACTCAGGCACTCTGGGAGGCTGAGGCAGGAGGGTTGCAAACAGAGCTCATCCTGGGCAACTCAGTGACTTGGCAAGACCCTGTTCTCAAGATAAAATCAAACATAAAAGGGGCTGGAAGTACTGTTCAGAATGTAGACTCGGGGTTCAACCACCATTACTGCAAAACAAAACAAAGCAAGAAGCTTCCTCGGTGCCACTTGAAGGGGGTAGAGTCGGGATTTCCAGCTTTGTCTTGTAACATCTTAGAAACCTCGGAAGGATAAGAATGCAGTTATCTCTCCCCAGAGAGGAGGAAGCGGAAGACCGGCAACATGGTTCTGCTAGAATTAGAGCAAGGAAGGAAGAGGGGAGGTGAAGGCCGGCAGCCTGGGCCTGCAGGAAGCAGCTGGGCTGGAGCTGGGCTGCAGGGTCTGTGCCACCCACCAGCGGCCAGGTGCCTTCTCCCGGGGCAGGGACCGGTATCGGAACCGCACAAGCAGACCTGACCCCAACCCAGGCCGCGCGCGGGCAGGGAGCTTGGCTCAGAAGCCTTAGCACCCTTCCCAGAAAATGATGCCAACCAAGCTGGGCATGCTCAACTCACAGCTGGCAAGGGGGACCCTCCCTCCAGGTCAGCTGATGGGAACCAGGCACACCGATGCCAGGTATTGCTATCTCCGCGCTAACGGATGCCCCATTCTGGCACAACATAATGCTTTTTTGAAGCGTGTAGTGACCTTCTGCCAAGCGCAGTGGCACAGGCCTGTCATCCTAGCATCCTAGGAGGCTGAGGCAGGAAGATCCCAAGTTTAAGCCCAACCTAGATAACTTGGAGATCCTGTCTCAAAATAAAAAATTAAGAAGGGTCTGGGAACGCAGTGAGGTTTTGGGTTTAATCCCCAATAGTGCAGAAATAAAAACAAGACTCGGGGCCTTTCCAGGTGACGGTACCGTCACTGGTCAGCAGCCTCCTCCGGGGTCTGGGCCACCAGCTGAGGGCCAGGGCCAGATGAGGCCAGGGCTGGTACACGGGGGATGGGGGACCTGGGGGCTCCCTAGGAGCATGGGAGCAGGGCATGGGGGTCAGGGTACTCAGACCAGCCCAGGGTGCCGCTGCAGCCCTGGGGCTGAGTTCACACGGAAAACCCAAGACACACTTGTCCCTTCTCTCTCTCCGCCTTTACAAGAAACAGACATCCAGGACCTTGCTGTTCATGGGGCACCAGCAGGGATGAGGACAGAAAACAGAAGGAATCCTAGTGCAACCGGTCTCAGGGGAACAGTTTGCACCATCTTGGGGAATTTCTGTTTTTCTGGCTGTGCCAGGGAGCAAATCCAGCACCCCACCCACCCCCACCCCGGCCCTGTGCATTCTAGGCTATGCCTTCTGCCCTGTTCAACTCCCAGCCCTCAGCGTTTTAAATCTAGTACACAGAGTCAGGTGTGGTGGCCCCAGCCTGTCATCCCGCACTCTGGGAGGCTGAGGCAGAGGATTGCCAAGTTAGAGCCCAGCCTGGACAATTTAGGGAGACCCTGTCTCAAAACAACAAAGGGCGGAGGGATATAGCTCAGTGCGAGGCCCTGGGTTCAACCACAGTGTCACAAAAATAAAACAGATGGAGTGTGCACTGATGCCTTCAGACCAGATCAGAGGGCATTTAAATGCAGTTCCACCTGGAGACAGGAAGATGAGCACAGTTCCCTCCTCCCTCTGCACCGGCCTCGCCAGTTACAAGAAACAACCGCGTGGATTGTTTGCAGCGCTCTGCATTAACCAAACTAACCAGCTCCCTTAACCAACTAACCCGCTCTCTGACTGCAGAACAGTGGTGGCCGCGGGGCACTCTGGGCAGACGGCTGGCTCTCAGGGACTGCAGGGTCCAGGGTGCTTACCGGCGTCCCGCGGAAGGGGTTGGGGATCCCGGCATCCTCCACCTCCTGGAGAACTTCAGCCCAGACTCCGCCCCTCCACCCCAGCTCCCAGGGTGCAGTGCAGTCCCACCACGCGCCCCCCTGAAACACGAGTCTCCTCCGGGAGAGGTTCATGATCCAGGGTCCCTGTAAGGACCCCCGAGGCCTTGGGGTGCAAAGGAGGCTGTCAGGCAGCAAAGGTCTCTGAGCACCTCAGGCTGGCAGCGATGGAAAGAGGACGCCCAGCACCTCCCACACACATGCAGCCACCAGACTTGGCATGTGGGGGAGCGTGCCTATAGTCCCAGCACTCAGGAGGCTGAGGTAGGAGGATCACCCAAAAGTTTGAGACCAGCCTGGGCTACATAGTGAGATCAAGACCACTCTGGGCTACATAATGAGACCCTCTCTCAAAAAATAGAAAAGAATCAAAACATTCAGCGGCAGGAGAGCAAGAGGCTTCTCGAGGCACTTTACAGAACAGAGCCTCATCTTCCTGGTCCTGAGAACGGGTCCCGGTGAACAGTGGGGCAGACAGCCCAGGAGCCCAGGGGTCCAGGCTGACCCAGCTCTTCAGCTCTGAGTTCACCTTCGCAAGCAGTTCGATTTCAGAACTCCCGTTCCAGAGCATGTAGCACCCTGAAGCTGCTATTTTTCTATCTTCTTGGTGGTTTTCAAGGAAATCATTCAACAACTGCTGGTAGCCTGGGCAACCTGGGGCCTAGGAACGCTGTCCAGGCACACAGGAGAATCCCTGTGGCTGGGAGCCCAGCACTCTGAGGTCCCCAGCTCTGCTCACCCCCATAGCCGCCCCCGCCACCCATCTGTAAAATGGTGCTATTACTTGGGTGAAATAAATACACCCTTGCACGTACACGTGCAAACAACGAGCACTCTCGGCTGCCCTTCTGTCCCCCGGGGGGTTCCCCCACACGCACTCCCCGACCCTCCAGCTGCAGAGGCTCCCACCCACTCCCGGGCGTGAAGGCCTCTGCACAAAAAAGCCTTTCTCAATACTTGCTGGTTTGCAAATCCAACTTCCCAGACCCCAGAAAGGGAAGAAGCAAGCCCCAAGGACAGCACATCGCATTTCAAAAGGAAAGAAATACAGTGCTTTCTAAAGGCATGAATAAGAACGGACTGAAAGCCCCAGGAAGGACTCGGCAAGAGTCACATGATATTTCTGCTTTCGCGCTTTTTAAGAATCTGTCTTAAAAGCCCTCTGTGACTGCGCATTCAAGCAGGAAAGAGAAACTGGGGGAACTATCTCAGGAGACTGTAAACTCAGGCCCCTGCCCCGGCCTCACCACCTCTGAGAGTCCCTGGCACCTGCTGGCCGCGGGGGACCAGTGCCGGGCGCCATGGGCTCCTCCAGACCGGCGGGTGGCCCGGGACTCTCGGGACGCACGTGCCACAGGTGCCCTCCCCCGCCTGGCTCTCGGCCT